CAGCCTTTTGGCTAACCTGCCCTTCTGAGGCTTATTGCCACAGGACACAGTGAAGACTAACGTTACACTGTCAAGTGATCAGTTTGTTTCATGGGTTCAATCCACAGTGGGCTTGTAGTACTGCATTTAAAAGCCCTCCACCACATGAGGAGCAGGCTGCTTGATGAGATCTGCCCACACCATGGTGGGCCTTTATAAACATCGCAGCAGCGTTGTGGGTTGAACCCACAGAAAAGCAGCTGCCCGGCTGCTGCTCTTAACATTTGAAGGGCACGTATCTGGGTTCAAAGAGAGGTGGACAAATTCATGATGCACAGGAATATCAGTTAGCATTAGGAAGATTATTACGGCATGTGGAGTCATGTTCAGGGTGTTTCTAAACCACAGACTGCCAGAAGCTAAGGATGAGTGACAAGGATCTGATTGCTCTCATTATTGACGTACGCTGCTTAATTCTCGCTATGTTGTAGCTTTTATTGGATGCTACTGGAGACAGGATGAAGGTTTATGTGGCCCATAGGTCAGATTCACAAAGGCTACTAATATTCTCTACTGCTCTTCTCAATAAAAGACTTGCTCTCTTTTTCAAGCGAAAGCCAATCTGTATTTTCTGTTCCTCAGTTCTACCCAGATATCTTGCAATACCCTGATGATCATCATTATCTTTCAGTCTAAGGGTTTTTGAGCTTTGGTTTCCCTTATTTTGAATCCAGATTTCCAGCCAGCAGTGTACCAACCACACACACTGTGCAATCTGTTCATTTTCTTTCCTTTACTATTCCAGCTGGCACGCTTATGGGGAACATCCAGGTCAAAGGATCGCTGCTGCCTTGTATCCTCTGTTTGTTCCAGAGACAAATGAAAGAAAGCAATGCATGTCGCACTGGAAGAAATGGATGCTTATTTCTATTATAGCAGCAGTGTTGCATAGATTGCTCTCCAAACACTTCTGCTTGTATTATTTACATGTGTGCGTGAATCTTCTGCCATACTGTTTACATTTCGTAGATGAGATGGTGCATCCAGAGCAGTGATGGGGAGCCTCTGACACATTAGGCCAGTTGGGTCTCGCCATGTGAGGCAGCTTCAGTCAAGTCATGCCCCGCTGCCATACACTTGATCATCTTTTCATGCAAAGACAATGCGCCTTTGCACAGTGATTGCCATGATTATATGCTCATTGTTGGCACCTGCAAACTCCTGGTGCCTTTGCCCAGGCAGGTTGATTTCAAACCACGTGGGCAAAGGAAAACAGGTCACCTCATCAGGTGAATGACAGGTGGGCAACTCCAGCCACCTGTCAAAGTCGGCCCACAAGGGGCGGGGATGTAAGGACTGTGGAACGCAACCAGTTCCTCACCTCTCTTCTACAGCTACTGAACTGATCTAATGAATACATTTCCCAGCAGTTAGGAGTGCCCTCACAGATATGGGTTGCTGAAATGCCTATAAGCAACTTTCTTTTTTTCAGGGCATCATCACCAAATGAAAATTGTCTTGCTGTCAGTCTGTCCTCCGTGTGAACCTCTTAGCTTAAAAACCGTCAAGTGAAAATGGCGTTTTTGATCGACTACCAAAGAAATCTTGATTATTTCACCCTGCAGCAAACATGAAGGAACATTTCAGAAAAGGGAAAACACACACACAAACCTTGTCATTTTCAAATGATCCTGCCCTAGTTACGAAGCTTCCTTTACATCCAGAAGGAAGGGCAACACTGAAGCATACTCTATTTAGGTTTTCTTTAAGATGAACTGGCCCGGGGGAGGGGAAAAAATCCTTTCTGTTAAATGTTAAACACTGTCTATGCGCTTCATCTCAGGTGATAAGTTTACTTTTAGATGTTCACCCTTTTAAGTTATTTAAGTACTGGCACCATATGGGTTTTAAAAACACAGTTTAGGAATCTTTAAGATGACATATGGATGCCTCTAAGCCTAGCTAGTGTCCTATGTACGCACCTATGTCCCAAAATAAGCAGATTTTCACCATGTCGTGAAGAGGCCTTAGTGTTTTGATAATACAATAGCTTTCAAATAATAATACTTGGTAAACAGTTCTGTTGCTGCTATGCATAATGAAGTTGAAACCACACAAAACAACTCAAATAATTGCGTATCACACACAATGGAAAAACCCCAAACCAATGTTTAATATGGGTCATAGATTACCAGAGTACATTTAAGCATAAGGAAGGAAACCATCATTACATTCTGTGGTTTTGTTGCCAATTTTTTAAGGTACAACATGAATTACAGACGGAGAACTAAACTGGTTTTTTTAAAAACAATTGGGGGATCCAAAGGAGGTCCTTGACAGATATTTAATATCATGATGTTATCCTCAGTAAACAGCAAAGAACAGAATGGCAAAGAGAGCTTGTTTTTCAGTAGGACCTACCTTTTGGAATTGCTTACTTTGGTAATTAAAGTCATATGTTTTTAGTAATGTGAAAAAGTTAAGATCTTTATTAGGAACATGAACCACCTTGTGACACTGTAACCCTGTATGCAGTGGCTGATGCTTCCAAGAGTTGCTTACTTCTATTCCTCTTCCTCCTCAGTGCTTACTCAAAGCTCACACGGTTTGGTAAAATTTGAGTAGCACAATGTAAATATAGTGTACAGTTGAAAAGAAGAAGAAAGCATTTGGGACGTCCCACTTGCTCTAAGGGCTTCTACGTGTTTAGAAAATTATTTCATTTGCAATTTCTTTTAAAGCAAAGAGTAAGATGGAAAGAAAAAGGTAGGAGTAAAGTTGTAGGACTGATGAGAGAAGTGATACAAAAAGAGAAACACCAATTAAGTTGTTCCCTGAGCTACTTCATCGTATAATTAACTGCTTGGGGCAAAAAGATGTGTTCCTCCATGCAGCCGTTTGATTGAAACTACCAATGCATGTTAAGTGAAGAATTTGGTATCTTCTTTGTGAGCAAATTAATGCAGATTAGGCCTCTTCTTTCTTTTCCAGTTCACAGCAGGTCTGTGCTGACAGATCAGGAGTCAGAATATGTTCCACACCCGTGTCCATCAAACTGACAGTTTTTATTGCTAACACAGAGATCCCTGGTTCCCCATTCATTGGTGTATTTTTACACTGGATTTTGGCTGGAGTGTCAAAAGGGAATTTTTGACTCAGCTTTGTAATGTGAGTTGTGAAACATGGGAATGACATTTCTCTATCTTAGCAAGAAGTCCAAAGTTCCCTGAGTTTAGGGGCAAAAGAATCTATGAAGTTTACATTAATGTTCTTGTTAGTTCAGGTGCCGCTTCCTGTTGTGTCAGGATTTTGCTCCATGTACTCAGACTTCCCAGGCAATAAAGGAGGTGATCAGGTCCAGCCAAAGATATTCTGCTGCCTGAGGCAAAGGTGTCCCCCAGCCCAAATTCCATGCACAGAAATTGACTGGACTGGCAGTTCCGTCTGACTTTGAAACTGGCAACAAAACAGCATCCTCAGTTGACCTGAAGACAGTAGGGTGTATGTCAGGTTGTGTGGCACACATAGCTCTAATCTCTAACAGTGGGGAATGGCAAGGGTCTCAGGAACAATGGTCCATCCCCCTGCAAGTACGTGCTGTTAGAGGGGTTTGCCTCACTCTGCCTAATGATAGGACTGGCTCCGGAAATTAGGGTGTGCTGTTATACAGGTTATATTAATACAAGCAGTGAATGTGCTAAATAAGCATCTAACATGGATTGGCTGGATTGGTGTGGTGGGAGGCAGCAGCTGGGAGATTCTCAAGGGAAGAAGGCTCAGAGCCAGGAGGTTGGTGGTGGGATGACAATGAGATGTCAGAGGGAGTAGAGGGAGAAGCCTGGGAGGAGTGTGAGGATGTTTAGGGAGGCAGGAGAGGATATATTATTTTATGATATCCTTCCTAACTTGCGTGAGCAAGTTCTATAATTTAGCAGAGTTGTTAAACAATCCCCCTTTTAAATTACACAGTGGTTAGCTAGTTGCAGGCTCGTCTGAGCCTCACTATTTAGGATTCCTGGCAAGATCCCTTTTTATATCCCTCCTAAAAGAATAGACACAACCATCTGATTAAAGTTAACATAAAACTAGTTTACTTACAACCATCCAGTTCACAATAAGATCCCTGAAGGCAGACTTAATTTACAGAACAACATATAACTACCGTATTTTTCGCCCCATAGGACGCACCGCCCTATAGGATGCACCTAGTTTTTTTTTGGGGGGGGGGAAATAAAGAAAAAAAAATATTTCCCCCCCAGGCACGGGGCTGGCGCGGGGAAAGCCCGAGCTTCCCCCGCCCCCCGCCCCCAGAACAGCCTGTTATCCGCAAGCCTAGGGAGCCGCGCCGGTCTCCCCAGGCTTGCGGACAGCTGTGCGAAGCCCGGGCGCGCTCTTCAGCATGCCCAAGGCTTTGGAATGTAGGCAGCTCCTTGGCGCCGGGCTCCGGAGGGTTGCGCAGAGCTTCCTAAAGCCTGGAGAGCGAGAGCCTCTCGCTCTCCAGGCTTCAGCGAAAGCCTGTATTCGCCCCATAGGACGCACACACATTTCCCCTTCATTTTTGGAGGGGAAAAAGTGCATCCTATAGGGTGAAAAATACGGTATGTGAACTATCCCATAAGAGAAATCATCTCAAGTGACTGCGACTCAGCAGTCACTTCTAACTCTTAGGAACACAAAAATGGAGAACAAGAAGAGCAGAACATGGAGGCTGTGTGCTCCTCTGTCCAAGAACAGGCCACACCCACATTAAGTCACATGCAAAGGAAGTCTGTCCCAACTTAGGAGGAACTAGCAAGTTTTCTCCTGAGCGATACAAAGCATTCCCTAGCATGTGCATTGTAGGAATGTTGTATTTGACTGCAGTATGTTTTTACATCCCACAAGGAGAAGGTGTCAGAAGGTGAAGAGGCAACAGGGTTCAGTGAGCAGGAAGAGGCTGTGGCAGACAGCAGTCCAGAATCAGAGGCTGGAGAGGAGAGGAAGGAGGCCAAGAAGCAGAGATGAATCAGGCTGCTGTAGAAGCCAGGGGGTCTCCCGCTCCTGCTGTGACCAGCTCCCCTCCCCCATGGTCTCCCAGAACCAGAAGAGGTGTGAAGAGTGTGGAGCAAAGACAGGTAACACATCAGTCTCAGATTGCATGGGAAAGAAGGAAATTTAGGAAGCTGTGGGAATGAGGGGACCTTTAGTCCTTGCAACTGCCTCATTGGGAAAAGCTGTTTTTTTAAAATACAGAAGTCTTCCACAATACCTCCCTTAGTATTATTTCAGTAAGTATAGTTGAATATCAGTCTTGTGCACAGGTACAGAAGTACCTGCACGCATGCCCAGAACCTTTTTAATGGCTTTTTAATGGTTTTATTGTATGGTTTTATTGCTGAAAACTGCTTTGATATTTTTTTAAAAAATGATATAGTGCTATACACATTTTTTAATAAATCAACAACAACAACAACAACAACAACAACAACAACAACAACAAGGTATTGGAGGAGTGCAGGAGTAGTGAATGAAAGGAGGAGCCAGAAAACACAGCACAGAAACATTCCATCAAGGACTTCTCACTGGTGTGGATGGGAAACAACAGTACATCTATGCAAAGTGTAAGTCTTAAACTACATCTAAAAGCAACTCGTATATCTCCTAAACCTTAGAGAAGTTTGAAGCCTTAAGCAACACAACATCTCTTGTTTATCTGTAGATGGTTTCTTAACAAGTGACCACTAACTGTAGTTAGGCTGGCTTTGTTCTTTAATCAGCCTTCCAGTAATGTCAGCTCCTCAGTTATGGTGCTTAATAGTTGAGGATCTTATCTAAGAGCACTTACCACAAAGAGTAACTTTAATTTTAAAAACTTGATGTGTACGGGGCGGTGTGGGGGTGGGGAGGGAACACTTTTGCTGTAAATCAGAACAATCCATATGCACTCAAATATCTGCAGTTTTCAGGAGTGTTAGATTCTGCACTTGGAATTCTCATTTAGCTAAAGGATGTGTAAAAACATATGCAGGCAGACGGTTCTTTGGCAGTACACCTGAAGAGATCAAGCATGTAAATGATTGCTTATAAGTCCAATAGTAACTCACGTTCACTAAAGAAGTTCCAGAGCTCTCTTTGGAGTATGGTGGAAATAATTTATTTGTTTTGTGGAAAGTACGCTTTCACAGCTAAGCAACATAGCTTTAGGGAATAAATACCAATGACATAGTCACATAGGACCTATAATCCAATTATTATTTTTTAAAATGGTAGTAGAACAATCCCTGACAGTAAAACTAATCGCCAAGAGGAGTGTATCATGCCACTTCAAGAGTGTTTTTCCCTATTACATCAGATCTGAGAAGTGAAACCTAAGAAGGGAACTGAAAGACTTTGAGTCATTATTTGGTGAAATCCCGAGGACTTATCTATAAACACGCAGCAAAGAAAAGACACCATGAGCTTTGGCATGAAAAGACCATTTAAGTCTTCAAATTTGTGAATTCCCTCCTGGTAGCAATTATGTATACTTTTTCTGGTCATGCAGTCATTATGACAATACTGACACCGACCTCCAAGCCAGCAAGGAAGGTCAGATTTTGTCAAACAATTCTGATGGCCTCAAGCTGTTTACTGTACTTAACTGATTTTTTAATAATATACTTCACAGCTAAGTAATGACCACCATTCATATATCTGAAGTTGTTGTTTACTAATTACAACAAATGCACAAACAGAGGAATAGCCACAAATGATTTTTTTTTCTTTACAAGGAGAATGTTAAGAGGCAAGATGTGTTTTCTGTATTCCCCAAACTTTCTACCCAGCACACCTACCTGAAAGTGGGTAATGAGTGTCAGCCTTGCAAAGGAATAATTTCTAGAGAAAGAAGAGTCTAGGCCTGCAAGTCACTCTCTGAGTACCCCTGTTCCCCACAATACTGGAAGTAGGGGGCTGGACATGAAGCCATCTAGTGGTGAGGGAAATATATTATATCCATACCCAGATGGAGTATTCTTCATAATTTCACACACTCCAGCAAAAAGCAAAGGGCAGAGGGAACATTTTTGAAGGTCTGCATCAACCTGACCGTTTCACTGAAATAAGCTGGCTATTGCAAACGGTTGTGAATTTGTCCTTTAACACTGAGCATATATGGTAGCAAAACTTCACATTAAAAGTGCTTACAGTGGTACCTCGGGTTATGAATTTAATTCATTCCGGAGGTCCATTCTTAACCTGAAACTGTTCTTAACCTGAAGACCACTTTAGCTAATGGGGCCTCCTGCTGCCGCCGTGATTTCTGTTCTTCTCCTGAAGGAAAGTTCTTAACCCGAGGTACTATTTCTGGTTAGTGGAGTCTGTAACCTGAAGCGCCTGTAACCTGAAGCATCTGTAACCCGAGGTACCACTGTATTCTGCTTAAATCTTTCTTTTACATGGGATTCACAATGGTCTGAGCAGTTCAGTTTCAGCAATGGTGCAACAACAGATGATTCCCAGGTCTTGGACAACACCCATTTCCATAGTACTGGTGAGTAAATTCCATGACTAAAATATAGGTTGGTCATACACACAGTAGATTGCTCTTGGTGTTTACTAGAAGTTCAAGAGGCACTCAGTGAGGTGCTGACATTTACGGAGGGAAGTTTTATGATGGGAAATCTATCCCTTACATGACAGCTACATTTCTCGCCCTGTAACATGATGATCCAACTGATAACAGCACTGTTTTAACATGCTGCAATAAAAACGTCTAATTTCTTTGTTGTTTTATGACACTGGCTAATTCTGGAATGCTTTCAAGCATGATATTGATATTCACCTGGGATCCGCTTGCATTCAGAAACAGCTACTTCCAATTCAAATTAGCAGACTAAATACAGGATCACAAACTGTACAGGATCACAAACTGTAAGGATTGCTACCAGGGCGATTAGCAAAACTATTCTACTGTAGAAAAGAGAAAACCCAATGATGAATGATAAAAAAAAGAGAAGGCATCAATAATGCTAACATTAAAATCCAATATAAAGCAACCTAGACACAGTGAGGAAGCAATTTTCATCATCACACAATAAGAAGGATACTGTGGTTTCAATAGGAGAAATGATAAGACTTTTTCGTTTTAATTGCAGCTCTCTTGTCCGAGCTGTATTCACATTGCATTTCAGGAACTTCTCACTGGAGACTCCAGAATTTGTAAGGACCTTGGAATCAGAATCAGGACTGAGCATCAAAGTGCACAGTTCCAAAATTCAATGCTTCACATTGTGCCATCCACATTTTGAGTTATTTGAGCTAATAGTTTCTACCAGCTGATACACCATGACTACACATAGGCAATTACTAGAGAAATACGAACATTTACCATTTACCATTAACCTCACAGTTTATCTGCCTGAACAATCTCACCAGCTCTTAACCCCAAACCTCACCCTAAGTGACACCAGAAAGGTGTTGTGCAACTGTAGCTTCCATTGTCCTGTTTCAGGGATTACAGGGGAACCCAAATTCTTCCCACACAAAGTACTTCTCTCTTTTTAGTCAGCTGGTGTATACCTTTATGGCCTCAGGCCAAACTCCCAGCAGGATTTTGCCAGCTATTCACATTTATCCGAAAGCTTTTACAAATATGGCCTCTATCCAGATTTTTTATGCTTCAGCTGCAATCTGATGATCTCTTCTCCCAAGACATCCCTGTATACACAACGGAAAACATTTATGGCTCACTTTAATTACATTTCACTTTCCACTTTGGTGTAATGAAGCCAAGGCTGGCCCAATACATTTTGAGGCGAACCACAAAATGGCGCCCCTCCCCACCAGGGAAGAAAGATCTACATCAGTAACAAGGGGGAAGTAAATATCTGCATCGGTGTGTGTGTGTGTGTGTTATTGGGTTGTTGTTTTTATTTTGATTATATATGTTGTGGTTTTTATGTTGATCTTTTCTGTGAACCGCCCTGAGACCTCTAGGTATAGGGCGGTATATAAATTCAACAATAATAATGCAAACAATAATCTGTGCCCCTGTGAATCCTGTTACCTGAGGTAGTCACCTCACTTTGCCTCATGGGTGGGCCAGTCCTGAGCAAAGCAAACCAATAATTTCCCTTCCCTTCTCAATGCAGAGGCTAAATCAGGCATAAGCAAACTTGGCCCTCCAGATGTTGTTGGACTACAACTTCCATCACCCTAGCTAACAGGACCAGTGGTCAGGGATGATGGGAATTGTAGTCTCAGAAACATCTGGAGTGCAAGTAGATAAATAGGTATCGCTCCGGTGGGAAGGTAAGTGGCATTTCTGTGCACTGCTCTGGTTTCGCCAGAAGGGGCTTAGTCATGCTGGCCACATGCCCTGGAAAAAACTGTCTGCGGAAGTGGACAAACACCGGCTCCCTCGGCCTTTAAAGCGATGAGCGCCACAACCCCAGAGTCGTTCACGACTGGACTTAATTGTCAGGGGTCCCTTTACCTTACTGGTTTCTCGTAAATTACCAGAACATTCAATGAACAGCGATGCAGTTTTATTGCTAGGTTTGCTGTTTATATTTGTTTTCTCTTGCCTTTGTATTTCTGTATTCTCTAACCTGATAATGGCATGAAGGTGACTCGGAAACTACAGCTAATCCAGAATGCGGCAGCTAGACTGGTGACTGGGGGCAGCCGCCGAGACCACATAACACCGGTCTTGAAAGACCTACATTGGCTCCCAGTACGTTTCCGAGCACAATTCAAAGTGCTGGTGTTGACCTTTAAAGCCCTAAACGGCGTCGGTCCAGTATACCTGAAGGAGCGTCTCCACCCCCATCGTTCTGCCCGGACGCTGAGGTCCAGCGCCGAGGGCCTTCTGGCGGTTCCCTCATTGCGAGAAGCAAAGCTACAGGGAACCAGGCAGAGGGCCTTTTTAGTGGCGCCCGCCCTGTGGAATGCCCTCCCATCAGATGTCAAAACGATAAACAACTACCTGACATTCAGAAGACATCTTAAGGCAGCCCTGTTCAGGGAAGTTTTTTAATGTATGATATTTTAGTGGGGTTTTTGGTTTCTATGGAAGCCGCCAGAGTGGCTGGGGAAACCGCCAGATGGGCAGGGTACAAATAATAAATTATTATTATTATTATTATTATTATATTATTATTATTATTATTATTATTTTCATACTGATTTGTTTTATGATTAGAAGTCACCTTGTGAGTTTCTCAAAACTGAAATGCTGGATATAAATACCTTAGGCACACATATACAAGCAAATGAAGGGCTAAATTGTCATTATGTGCAAGCACAGGAGCCAACATCCCCCCACCCCCATAAAATAGTTGGCGGGCATTGCCGTTCAAATGGTGCAAGTGCCACGTCATGTGATCGATTATGCAGGGCAGGGCTGATCTGCCCCGGCCCCAATATTTTATTCAAGTTGGCACCCCTGTGTGCAAGTTTACACCATCCTTTGAAATGTACTGCTCTTGGTGAAAATATCCACACTCATGCTTTTTAAAAAATGGAATAATTCTTTCCCATTTAATATTAAAAATATTAATCATCACTGGTCAAAGAATATGCATTTAATTTTGAAAAAAACACACAATCTCTTGCTTGGAAAGAGAGATAAATAATTGTTTTAATTATTTTTGTGCAAGTTATGCTCTCGGTAACATTTGGGTCTAATGTGTTTTTTTACTGCTAGTGTGATTTTATTAGGCAAGGTAAGGTGATTAGTAGGTGGACATGACTACGTTCATTCAGGAAAATTGGATACAGGATATAAGTCAATTATGAATTAAAATGCTTCGGAGTTGTTGTACGTAGATGAATCTAAGCTTCAGAAGCCAGGAGGAAATCTTCCGCAGAAAAATAGGCAAAGCATTATATACACCCTTAAGTATTTACGCAACGACAGTCACTGCATTGTTAGGATACAGTAAGATACTATTGCACATAGGATGTCCAGATGGCCCAGAAGTGACCTTTCAGAGAATGATCACACACCCTAGGGTGTCTAAGTACTATTGCAACACACCAACGTGGACTGAAAATCCACAGGCAAGAAACAAAGGAGTTTAATTTTAATGAGAAAAGAAGTGGGCCGGTTCATGAAGCTGCAACAGAGAGGATTAGTTTTAGCTTTCTCCTGCCAGTAACGCCATGTGAAGGATTCCATGCAAGTTAGGACAGAGTATATTTCTTTTGCCTGACCTCAATGTACCTGGTAGGTGTGGAGAAGGGACAGGCGCTTTAAATTCCCAACTGAGCTGCACAGGGAGGAGTATCTGGGAGAGAAGATCCAAGTTAAACCAGTGCATTGCTCAGTCTCCCAGGTTACACCTTACTCGGTCAGTGACCTTTTAAACACTGAGCCACAAACACACTTTACAAAGGCAAGAAACAGAAACCAGCTTTTTTCTGGTGACAGTGGTTGTTCACTAGTATGCACCATTCTTTCTAGAAGCTGAGTGTGACATCTTGAATAAAGGTAAAGTAAAGGGACCCCTGACCGTTTAGGTTCCAGTCGTGACCGACTCTGGGGGTTGCGGTGCTCATCTCGCTTTACTGGCTGTGAGGGACTGCGCGTTACAGCTTCCGGGTCATGTGGCCAGCATGACTAAGCCGCTTCTGGCGAACCAGAGCAGCTCACGGAAACGCCGTTTACCTTCCCGCCGGAGTGGTACCTATTTATCTACTTGCACTCTGACATGCTTTTGAACTGCTAGGTTGGCAGGAGACATCTTGAATAGTTCCTGCCAAATCATTCTAGATCAGTGTTTCCCATATGGCCCCCTGGGAGCCCCCATGATATTCTAAGGGCCCCCCAAATGAAAAATGTGTAAATGGGGAGCCACAGCAAGAGCCAGGGAACCACAGAGGGAAGTGACAAGTGAATTTTTAAAAAATCCTGATTGGCTATCTGCTTGGCCAATCACAAGCGGGTAAGGGGGCGGACCACCAGGGTCTATCACTCCTTTTTGCCAGGTTCAGTTTTCTTGGAGCAGTCCTAGTTTGTTTCCAGCGGGAGAAGGCAATCACTGAGGCTCCCGTTTTGACCAGTAGGGCCCGTGATCCAGAACCCCAGGTCAGGTAAGTGCAGTGGTGGGGTGGCAATGGGTAGGGCTGGGAGAGCCAGAGCTGCTTATTGCTGCCACCAGTGCAGCAGATGTTTGAGTAAAGCAGGGAGAGAATGACACTGAGATGAAAATGGCAATTTTAATCAGCATCAGAAGTTAAGAGTAAATCAGGGATGGAGAATTACTGAGAGGGAAAGTTGCCATTTTAAACAATGGCAGAGATTTGAGTACAGCGAACTCAATTTCTTGAGTACAGCAAGAAATGAGTTTGGAAAGGCTCTGTTGTGTTAGCTTTTTTGGTGCTAACATCTCTGCTGTACCCATCTCTGCTATTCTTCATGGTTAAAACTAGGTGGTTTTTTTTAACCCTTCAGTATTCCTCCATCCCTGCTTTACTCAAACATCTGCTGTTTCCATCTCCATTCTCAGTAGCCTTCCACCCCTGCTTTACTCAAAACCCTGCAGTTGTTTAAAACTGCCATTTCCTCTAAGTGACCCTCCTTAAAGGTCTGCCATTTCTTCTATTTTTATTATCAAACATGATGGCTGAAATAATTCAGATGGTCCAGTTTAAAATCCTGTCTACCTTGGGCAAACTGCTTGGCAAAATGTCATATATAGCAGCAAAAGCATGATTTCACCCAATGAGGATGGAAGGGATCTCCTTTTAAACCTGTGTTCCACTGAGGTAACTAGAACGTAATTAATACAGCTGGCATAATTAACTGCAGCATACTGTTGGCACGACTGAATTTAGGCCTAGAGGAAAAGTGTGGTTTGTAATATGACATGCATGATGCAGAGATTATGTAGTTCGTATCTTGGATACTTAGCTTTAATGGATCATAGCACGTCTGAACTAGAACTAGCAAAGGGGCACACCTCTGTATTGACAATCACGGTGGTTATGAAGTGCTCCATTAGCTGTTAATTGAATTCAGCCCCCAGGCTTCCAGCAAATGATAGCAGATTTCTTGCTTTCCCATTT